AAAAAAAAAAAAAACTCACATTGTGAAATATTTTGTGATAAAATTAGAGGCAGTGGTGCAGTCCCATTGCAGTCTGGCTCTTTCCCAGTTGAACATATCCTAGGATTTCCTACAACACTGTCATTACAATTTATTACTGTTTTCCCCCCTTAATAATACCAGCATTTTTTAAATTAATTTCTGATTAAAATAAATAAAAAAAATCTGACTCAAAAAATAAAATAAAAAAAAAAGTCCCATATAGTAATTTAAGGAAATTATACTTGAATGTTTTGACTAGATGTCTTGCTACTGGCCCACTCAAATTATTGAAGGACAAGTCCCTGAGACAACAAACATCACAAATTACATCAATTTGATAAATAAAAATGACTATATATATTTGTCTTTAATCAAATAATTGGTTTACTATAAAGAAAAAAAAAATTAAATAATTTAGAATATTTACATGAAAGTCAGCTGATTCAGGTTTCCTAAAGCCATAGGTATAGCCCCTGTGAGACTATTATTGTTTAATCTCCTGTTTTCAACAACAAAAAAACAACATATTTATTATTATTATTATTATTATTATTATTATTATTATTATTATTATTATTATTATTATTATTATTATTATTATTATTATTGTTACAACTTACAAGTATTGCAGGGTTTTAAGTTGAGATAAAGAGTTGGGAATTTGTCCTGTTAGCAAGTTATCTGAAAGATCAATTGCTTGCAATTTTGGTAGTTTTCCCAATTCTGCTGGTATTGGCCCTGTTATATTATTATCCTGTAACAGCCTGCAAATTATAACAATTAAATAAATTTTTATGTAAATAATTTGAAATTTTATATATATATATACATATATATATATATATATATATATATTTAAACAAAATATTAATTATTACATTACTACTTACACACTTGTGAGGTGTGTCAAATTCCCAATACTAGGTGATATTGTGCCTGATAAACCCTGGCTTGGGATTGCTCTGCAAAATTATAACCAAATTACTTGCATTTTTTTAATTTTTTTTTTTTTTTTTTCATTTTCTACTTTCCACCTAAATTATGTAGAAAAAAGATTATCAAAAAAATAAAAAATTGTATGGAAAAAAAATGGGACTTATTTATATATATATATATATATATATATATATATATATATATATATAGGATGTGGTTCAAATGAGAACCAAGTCCTACCGTGAGAACCACTATTTTTAATTGTATGTAGATGTAGTGCTAAGATTGATTGTGTTTTAGTGCTATTTTTAACTAGGATGTATTTTATTAAAAATAGCAATAAAATTTTTATTAGCATTTGTGAAAATAATAGCACAATACAATATTAAAAATAGCATCATATACAATTAAAAATAGCATTAAATATGGTTCTCACGTTCTCAACATAATTTTTATTTGAACCAACCCCTATATATATATATATATATATGTATGTATATTTAAATAAAAAAAATTAACTTACAGTGTAATAACAAAATTATCATGGGAACAACCCACCATAGCCCAACCACATGGATCAACAGCATTTTCATCCCAATTGAGGACTTCATGAGGATCATTAAAAGATTTTTGTATGTCAATCAAAGCTTGCACTGCAATAAATAAAATAAATAAATAAAGTATCCCAATTTATTTCATTGAATTCATTATATTTTATTATTTTCTGGCAAGGAAATTATTGATTGAATGTTGTATGAAATTAAAATTTATTTTTTAATTTTTCATTTATTCCCAGTGAAAGCTAAGAAGAAAAAACACTAACCTTCATAGTTGACACCATTGGGTGTAAGCAAAGCAGTGCTATAAGCCCAGCTGGTTATAAAAGCAACAACCCACAAAACACCTTCTTCAATTGTAATCTTCATTTACTCAGAAATTCATATAAAAATCATAAGAAATTAGTATAATTTACAGAATTTTAGGGAGTTGATTGCAAAATATTTTGAAATGATCACATTTTCTGAAAATGGAAATAACATATAACATCACATAAAAATAGTTCAAAAAAACTTGTGAAGCTATGGAATTTTCAGAAGAGCAATGGCTCACAGCCTAAAAAGAAAAAACAATTTTTGTAGTAAAAGAAAAAGAAAAAAAAAGTGAGCTATAGTAACATGTCCACCATTTGTCAGCTAAAGTAGAAAGAAAATAATATTAAAAAAAAAAAAGCAAAGTTTTGTGACCAAAAAGAAAAAAATAAACATTTAATAAATCAAGAGATAAATATTCAAAAGTTGATGGAGGAAAAAATATATAAATAAAATCCCTTCAATCATGGTTCTTACAAAAGAGGGACCTTTGGGGTTGGTTTTATTTTTTATCATTTTTTTAAAAATAATTGTTGCATAATTTTGTAACAAATTGAAATCATTCATGTGCAAATGTGTGATTAAAAAAAATATAGAAAATAAAAAAGAGGAGCTTTAGTTGAAATTATTTTGTGTAAGATAATTTTGCTTTGGTTGAGGTGCAAAAAGAAGAGGGCATGCGTATTGGGAGTTGGTGTTGAGGTTTTTTTTTTATAATTTACTTTCTAATCCAAACATTTCCAAGTGTCCCAAATATATATAGTGAATTCCAGCACAAATACTTAGGTGTGGTGTGTCAAGGCACACGGTGAATGCATGTAAAAAAAAAGGAGTGTGTCCTTAAATTGAGACTCTTCTCCAAAATCATGTCCCACGCGCAGAGAGAGAAAGAGAAAAAAAAGGCGGTAAAAGTTCTACTTCCTTCCGCCAAAATTGAGTTCATTTTTCAAGGCAAAAAATCCTCTTCACTCCAGCTCTCCTCTTCTGAAGGATTGTCGATTTTATCTTCTGCAAAACTGAATTTTCCGATGGTGATATTAGAAGATGTAGACGCAGCCCCTGGGTTTTGTAATCATGAAAATGAACATGTTCATTTTAATCTGGAGAATGAACATGTTCATTTTGAAGATGGAAGAGTAGTTGGGTCTTCCAATCTGGAAAAAAGTGTAGTTGGGTCTTGCAATTCGGAAACAATTTCTTTATTTGAGGATGAACATGTTCATTTTAATGAAACCGCTGTAATATCGATTGATGAAGACAATGAACAAGTTGATTTTGGAGATGGACGTGTAGTTGGGTCTTCCAATCTGGAAAAAAGTGTAGTTGTGGTCTTACAATCCGGAAACAATTTCTTTATTTGAGGATGAACATGTTCATTTTAATGAAACCGCTGTAATATCGATTGATGAAGACGATGAACATGCTGATTGTAATGAAACCGCGGTAATATCCATTGATGAAGCCAATAATTCTGTGGTTGAAACGGGTGAAGGCACAGGTAATTCAGAAAACATGTTCATTCTACAATCACATATGTTCATTTCATAATGAAAGATACTCATATAAACATGTTCATTTTTGTATATAAACATGTTCATTTCATTTTGTAGAAAAAGTTCATTTTGGTTTTAAACATGTTCATGTCATTTTGTTTTTACACATGTTCATTATTTATATAAATATGTTTATTTAGTTATTAAACATGTTCATATATTAAATAGGTGTTTATTCTCTCTGTTTTGGAAAAGTTCGATATGGAATGTATACATGTTCATTTCTTAACTCAACATATTGATTTCTTAACGGAACATATTCATATTTTTGAAGAGATCGATGATGAAAAATTGCTTGGGATGAAATTTAATTCCTTGGAAGATGCTTATGAATTCTACAATTCATATGCGAAGAGACATGGTTTTAGAGTTAGAAAATCCAGGTCAAGAAAGAAGAAGGATGATATTGTACATCGCAAACAATTTTGTTGCAAAGAGAGGAGTTATACAAATTTGGAAACGCGGGTTGGTTGCAAGGCAATGATTCAGCTTCTTTTTTATGGTGCTAATTGGATAGTGGAGCAAGAAGTGGATCAACACAACCATGAGTTGATTCTATGCAATCAAGCCCGCTATTTTCGCTCTCACAGGGATATGCCTTCGAATGATGTAGCATATTTGTCACAATTAAAAGCTAGTGGAGTTGGTGTTACCGCTGGTTATAGGGTTCTTTCGGATCAAGCTCGTGGTGTTCAAAATATGTCATATACAATAGTTGATGCCCGTAACCACGTTGCAAAGCTTGAACGAAAAATTTGGGAAGGCGGTGATGCAAATGGCCTACTTAATATATTGAAATAAAGACAGGCCCGGGAAGATGGATTTTATTTTAATTATGATCTGAATAAGGAAACAACATCATTGTGTTCCAATTTTTGGAGGGATTCTCGCATGAGGAAGGATTATGAGGTGTTTGGTGATTTAGTTGTATTTGATACTACTCATAGGACAATTAAGTACAATCTTGCATGTGCTCCATTTACAGGGATGAACCATCACAAGAGAAACATTATGTTTGGGGTTGGTTTTTTGCTTCATGAGGACAAGGATTCATTTCAGTGGTTGTTGGATGAATTTCTGAAGTCAATGGGTGGGAAACAGCCTGCCACAATAATGACCGATGAAGATGCAGCCATGGCAGTTGCAATTCCATTGGTGTTAACGCAATCCCGACATCGCTTATGCACCTGGCATATTGACGAGAATTCAAAAAAGCACATTCAGTATCTTCGGATATTGCCCGGTTTCATCAATCTTTTTCATTTGGTTTTGAGATCAACGGACACAATACCGGAATTTGATTTTTATTGGAAAAAGTGAGTTATTCAATTTATATTTGAACATGTTCATTCTACAATTACACATGTTCATTTAATACTGACACATGTTCATTTCTCGTTGTACTTGTTCATGATATTATTTTTGTAAAAAAAATTCATTTCATATATAAACATGATCATTTACTTTATTAAACATGTTCAAATAGAATGTAGACATGTTCATTAAAAAACTGAACATATTCATTTAATACTGACACATGTTCATATCATACTGTAACATGTTCATGATTTTATTTTTGTAGAAAAAGTTCATTTTGTTTTAAACATGTTCACTTTGTATACAAAAATATTCATTTATTTATTCAACATGTTCACCTTATAAAAAATATATTCATTTAGTTATTAAACATGGTCATTTTGTATATGAACATATTCTTAGGTATAGAACATGTTCATTAGACATGTTCATTGTTTATACGGACATGTTCACAACTACACATATTCATTTCATATTGTAACATTGTTCTTGATCCTTCAGGATGTGTGATACATACAATTGCGCTGATAAATGGCTGAAGCTGTTGTATTCAAATCGTCACAAATGGTGTCCAGCCTTTAACAAAACTCATTTCTCTGGTAGTATATTGTCATCCCAAAGGAGTGAATCAACAAACAACTCAATTTCGGCGAAACTTCCCAAGACTGCTCGATTGTGTGGCTTTTATTCCCATTTTGTCAAAGTTCTTGAGGAGTGGAGAGAGAAGGAGAATAAAGATGACTTTAGGTGCAACAATGGCCGTGTGGAATGTCAATTCCCTGATAATTCCCTACTCCTTAATGTTCGTGAGTTGTACACAATTGAAGCATATATTCATTTTGAGCAACTGTATATAGTTGCAATTTCGTGCAAGATGGAAGTCGTTGGAGCACAACAAAGCATTGAAATTTGAAATAATGGGAATGTTGTTTTATGCAAGCACCAAGTAAATTTCAACTTAACTTCTCATGAGGTTAGGTGTTCATGCGATTTGTTTTCGGAGGTTAGTTTCCTTTGCTGCCACTGTCTTAGGGTGTACATTATTTTTAATGTCGAAAGAGTTCCGGATATATATGTACATCCAAGGTGGCGTCGGAATGCCAATTTGAACTGTCGTTTAGACTTGGAGGGAACCTAATATTCTGCGGGTTACCATGTGTCAGGTACATATTCATTATACAGTAACACATGTTCATTTAGTATTGAAACATGTCCATGTCTTACTGAAACATGTGCATGATATTCATTATACAATAGAACATGTTCATTTAGTACTCACAATATGTTCATTACTCAATCAAATATGTTCATTTCAGGTGCATGCCTTTGGAAATCCGACAAAATATGCCAGTTTTTGAAGATTGTTTCATCAAGTGAAATGGATCAAAATGTCAAAGATATTGTTGATGAATGTTTGAGATCCATGTCTGATCGGATAGAGTCTCATTTTTCTCATTAGCTACAGATGAACCGTCTTGTACAGCGAAATCTTCTGCCGTGAATGTTAACGATCGAGAGAAATTGAGGCCTAGATGAGAACGAAACATTCGACGAAAAAGTACTGTGGAGAAAATTTCAAGACAATCAAAGGGGAAACACAAGAAACAAGCTTCATTGAGGAATAGGAACACCATGTTTAACCGGGTCTTTGCTACAAACCCTGAATTTGTTGGACGGTTTGTGCATCCCTTTCCTCCTAACAAAGATTCTCAACATGATCCTAGAGGTTCTGGATACAATCCTCCGGACATGAACATGGCCTCTCAAAATGAACATACATTTTCTTTTCTATGAACATGTTTTGTTTTCATATGAACTTGTGGCTTTTAAAGATGCACATGTTTATTAACCCGATGAATATGTTGATTTTGCACATGCTGTATGTTGGTTTTGTAAGTAATGCGTTTCTTAACTTGATGCATTTTTTATTTATAAAATAAACATTTCAAATTATAAGATGAATATGTTAGGTTATGAGATGATTATTATTATTAGCGCTATGAATATGTTGATATTCTATAATGGAATATGTTAATTAACATGAAGAATATGTTTATTTTTAAAATGAACATGTCAACTTATAAGATGAATATGTTAGGTTTTAAAATTAACATGTCATTTTATAAGATGAATATGCTACGTTTTAAAATGAATATGTCAAATTATAAGATAAATATGTTACGTTAT